TATATATACATATATGGGTTCGCTGCAGCCGAAAAAGAAAAAGTAAAAAAATAAAAAACAATTCAGTAAGTAAGCAAGAAAAAAAAAGAGGTTTTTAGAATGCTTAGGTTTTTGCTTGTTTGGTTTTTGGTTTTCTGCATAGCACCGTAGACACAGTGTAAACAAATAGATACATAATAATAACAATTTATTTTTCAATTTATTTCAATTTATTCAAGATTGCCTCCAAAAATGTAGGGTATACCGTATACAAAAGCAAATCAAAACATCAATACACATCAAAATACATAAAATCGTGCACATTGGTAATGAATTGAATGGATTAAGCCGCGCCCCTTGGATATTGTTGCTAAGGTCCCATAAAACGGCATGACATACGCACAAACCCGGACAATACGTGTGTTTGTGCGCGTATTCCTTTTTTTCTCTTTTGTGCGCGTATTCCTGACGCTGTTCTGATTGGTCAGTTGTTAAGTTTGACGACACTCCGGAAAGGTCAATTAAGTATTGCCATCTGCGAACATGGTGACAAATTAATTTAACTTAAAGACGGCATTATTCACGTTTATCATCATGTTGCATAATAATTGATGTGAATATTAAATTTGTATTCGTGTATTCACAATGCGATCAATCACAGATTGACATACGTCAGCTGATAATATCGCTCATACCACCTCATACCAAGAATCTCCATGCTCAGACAATCTGCTAATTTATTCCACATAGCACGTGACAACCGACAATGTTTTAATGTTGTCGAACACAAAAAGAGTGTCATCAAATGCAGGTTAGTATCGCAACTCATTCGCTGCTTCAGGTTAAATACAGGGCATTACGGATTGTTATGTCTTGATTGTGGTTCCTTGCGGGAGTTATGAGTCTTGGACATTGTTTTGCATTGAATGACAATCTTACTTCATGCTTTAGTATCGGCTGACTCCTTGGTTTGGGGATGAGTCAACAATATCATGCAAAACATAGATATCTCAGGGAACCCAAGGTGGTCAAACGGTCAATCGACCGACAGACAATTATTCTTTAGTCTCATCGAATACCGGTACCGATTGTACCAGGTTATTTTTCGAGCGCATGTGTGCTACTACAGTATGCAATACACAGATAGCCTATAAAATAAATCTGAATACATTTGAAAAGCATTTATAAAGTCATAAATGTTAATGAACTTGTGATAAGAACATACAAAAACTACAGGATATAAATGTACATTATTAATGTCAAAGCTTGGATTAAGAAAATAGATTGTTAACTTAATGATTATGTCATTTCCGCATAATGCACCGCGTAATGTGTACCGCGTAAATGAAAACATAGCTACCGCACTTCATAGGATCACAAGACAAAGAGCTTATAATTCAGGACTACTATAAGGAAGATGGATTATAATAAATGTGGACAACAACAAAAATATACTACCGAACTGTAAATAATTATCAAAAAATCACCTCTTTTGTGTAAGTGCCACTACCAACTTACGTGATTTTTCCCCACTAAGCATGCATACCGTATTCTGTACGCAGATTACCCAATGTGTCTTGATGTTTCATATCATATCATCGTTCCATAATTGTTGCCATTATTAACTACAATATAATAATTTGAAACGCTATCGATATGCGGTTTGCTTAAGTTAGTGCCACGCTGAATCCTCCGAAAGTTGTGTAAGTGCCGCGGTGCTTATTGGATTAACGGTGCGAATATATGAGACAGCTGCTCAGTAATAGTGCATCAATTTATTTGTTGTTTGAGATGGTTTATGAAGGATGAATCTTAATTAAGTTTCTTAGATTTACATTATTGTTCATGTTGTATCGTGTAAATGTGTGGTACTGTCCAAAATTATAATAAGATTTTAATTATCAACACTCGTGGTATAACATAATTAGGGCCTACAACAATACTATCAGTAAATGTAATTGAGTCCCAAACATCTGCCGATATATTCTTCGTACCTGAATGAAGAAGTAGCTTGGGGCACGCGATTCCTTGGAGAAGAAGGCAACGCGACGCGGGGTCAGCGCAACGGGTTATTTTACATGACACATCGCTCAGTCTGCCATCGACGATCAACGGGTGCAAATTTGTGTCGTCAAGCGCTCACATGTGACAGAGATGGATTCGTCGATCGACGGTATATACCGTACGACGCAGTACTGAGAAAATGAGTTGGAGACCAAAATAAGTCTATAAAAACACGTGTGTGTGTGTGTAATAGACGAAAATATTGACGTAATGTTGCCAAAATACATATTTGCATTTTAATGACTGTTGCGCTCGTCATCCAATACCGATCTCTCGCCACACACGAACTCTTGTCCGTTATCAAATCGCCTTAGTGCCGCCGAACTGCACATGCGCAAAAGATGTTTTTTAATAGAACTCAATTGATGTTTGCGTCATGCATACAAAACTAGTATTTTCACCATTTTTAATAAACGTGTTGTTGTATCGAATTCGGTATTGTTATCTGAATATACTATGGCTAATTGGTTCTGAAAGCCACATCTCGATGAGTATTTCAATTAATCTTCGCAGCTTATCAATATACATGAATAATTTTATTAATATTCATAAATATTTGCGTTTATTATAAGCATGTCCTAGATATACAAAACAAACTGAAATATACGATTGTAAATTCTAAATATCATTATTCTGGCAAAGAAAATAACAATATAAAACATTAAAAATTAAAAAAATCAGAAATTCACAAACATAAAAAATAATTAGGTGATCCAGAGAGCAGCAAAATAAAGAATAATTAGATGAGCCAGGGAGCAGCAAAAGCGAAATCACTATCATCTTAGAGATGTGGTGCACCCACAAAAAAGGAATAGGCCCCTAACAACAACAACAATAATAATAATAATAATAATAATAATAATATAGAATAATAATAATAATAAAACAATATCAAACGATTAAAAACCATTAAAATATTTTTTAACTTACATTTGAACAAGCCAAAATCAATAGATATAATGAAATACTTTCGATGCACCATAACCTACATTTTGTACGAGTACCAATTTAATACATACATTTATCAAAGTGTCTCAAATAAATTGATTAACGTGGTTGCTTTTGATGACTGACATGTTAAGCAATCACGTGATCGTAAAGAAGAGAAGATGATGAAAGGCATATTGAGTGACAACATGATCATCCAGAAGATGAGAGACCAGTCGTGCATATTAATAACATCCTTCCTAATCTTCTCTTTTTCTTGCACTTTCGAATTTTAATATGAAGCAACGAACGTCTATTGTTTGACTGTACATTGGTAGGATGTATTGTTAACTTTTAAATACTTTAGGCCTGTGTCCCCTGAGGTAAAATCTAAAAAACTTCAATTTAGAATCCCAATAGAAATTACAGTCTCCTTTAGGTGGTCTCTGTCATCTTTGTAAATAGTGCACGCACCTAAGTTGTATTTTGAGCACCGTTATTGCACCCTAAATTTATTTATTTATTTCGCGCCGGCTGAAAATGGCAGCGTTGCCACCAAACCATCCCAGTTTAGCTGAGTATCAGCTGCAAAGGGATTATCAAGACTAAAGACTACAGTATACCAGCCAAATTTAAAGTCTTTGCATAAAATATAGAAACGGTATTGGTATTATTTATAAGTTATTTATTTATTTATTATTTATTAACATCCGTTTTGAAAAGAATGGTTTTTCTCATTCTAATTTTAAATTGAATGAGAACTTAATAATAAATCACATTGTTTAATTGGCGTCCACCCGAACGTGTCCGTTGTATAACCACTTGTCAGTCGGTGCGTTGTAGCTCACGTCACACAGTCTGAGGATGGAGGGCTCATCATCGTCGTCATCATCATCTTATTCTCCGTAGTCATCATCATCATCGTTATCGTCGTCATCGTCATCATTCTTTATCATCATGATTATTCATTCACATCATAGTAATCATCATCATCTTCATCATCATCCTCATCATTATTATCATCATCAGCATTATTATGCGACACATTATATTTATGTTGCGGTACATTCTATTTAGATTATAAGGTCATACGCGATGTATAGTGAAATCAAACTGCCATATTGATATTCACGGAAACAATATATTTATATAAAAATGTCCACACTTGGAAGAAAACTCCACGAAAACTGAAATATGAAACTAGTTTGACGTTAAGCATAATATGGATTTTGAAACTGACTCTCACATGTTTTAAAATAAACAAGTCGCGATGTGATTCGTTGTCACGGCTTGGCAATTAATTCGTTCAGGTAATTAGTATGTTTTTGAAGGAAAGTGGCCGAATTTGATCGTAACCCTGAGGATATGAGGCAATCGCTAATCCAATTTACAATTTGCAAGAAATTTGTTTAAGGAAGTAGGGCTAGATGATGCGAAAACACTGAAATAGACAGAAGAATATATATATATATATATATATATATATATATATGTATGTATATATATATATAATATAAATCATCAAAGGTACATATACAGTGTTTGATAAGGGCGTTTGGCCAGAGGGAGTTTGGCCAGATAAATCTGGAAATACGGCTTCAGGCATAGAATTGTGTAATACAATGTTCCCGACGGGTATTTGGACCTGTTCAACCATGAAGCCTTCGTGGTCTAGTGGTTATGACGCTCGCCTTGTCAGCGAGAGGTCGCGGGTTCGAATCCCGTCGGAGGCATTTTATTACACAATGATTTTCCTTAGGACCTTATTCGTTAGGAAGCTACAGGGTAGCCTACGATGTTCCAACATGTCCTTATTAAACACTGTATATGTACCCAGGACAACATCGTTGAGAGCTTGCTACACGATGTACCATCATGTCCTTTATCCCAACACTGTATTTACCTTTCTTTGATGATGTATATATAATTTAACAGTGTTAACGGCTATCTTGGTTGTCGAAAAAATAGCTCATCTATCCTTATTTATAGCTATCTTGATTATTATATTTTATTATTTATCTATTTTATTTATTATATATTATAAATCAAGATATATATTATATATATACACATGTACATATTTGTTATATATATAATTGCGATTGAGTTGTGTGTATAAACCTATGTAGCGTACATTATTGACTGAAGTACGCATCATCATGACGTCAGTAAATGCTGTGTATATTCTAAAATCGCATAACAAAACAATTTAATTGCTATTACTCGAAAAATACATAATCATTAAAGACAGAGAGGTGATTAGGTCACATGTGTACGCACGATAGGCTCTTATTAATCGGATGTTTTCTGTACGTGGCCTCTTTATACATAGTTCAGTCATTTCCACGATCAGTACAGGGCATGAATACATGGGTACCCACGGCCAGTCATGTACAGGTCACCTTGTGGACCACATAGGTCCAAAATTTTTATCACGTGTATGAATCGTCACTACAAAGTATTAAATTACTGTTAAGTAAGTTGTTAAACTAAATACCGCGCTTCTATCATTTGTACATTTTATTTTCAAGTGTGAACTGAAACAGACTAGATACTCACGTGAAGGTCACTGTATTTTGCGGGTTGTATTGTTCGTAGTATCCAACAAAAACAAGTCGTTCAATAGTATCAACAATCACGATTATTGTAAAGAGCATTGGTAAAAAAAAAAACGTACTGAGGCGGCAACTCAAACTATGGACGTCATACACAAAACCACAACCACTATACACAGACCCTTACCCTTGATAGTGCACACCCCACAATTTTCGGTCATTGGAAAACCCTACAATTCAATTATCAAAACGTTCATTAGCTCGTTCAAAAATTAAGTTAAGTTAATATATTCCAATGATACATTAATAAAAAATAAATAAATGTTTCCAGTTTATATGCTTTTTTGCCTTACTATAAAATTACTTCAATTGAATACAAGAACATTTATTAGTTTTTGAGGGAAAAAAAAGAGAAAAAAAAAGAATTTTAGAAAAGGCGGTCTACGGTATTATTTGTGTCTGTTTTAATGGCGAAGATTTTTTTTCTCATTCCAAGTTTTTTTTAGCTCATTACAGACAGTATATAGGTAAATTTAGCAGTACACCAGACAACCAATGCTCTAAAGATTTGATTTAAATAATCAATTAGTATTTAAGTTGAAGCATTCTTCATTAAAACAATGTTTTTATTTCTCTTTTCTTTGATAAAACTCTTTCTGTTTTGCATTGCTATACATGTACCAAACACACATTATAGAAGTTAACATGAATCATATACAGCCTACATAATATGCATTAGCATAATCTTAAAAGCACGAGCGTGCATTATGACGCAGCCTACTGTAAACCATAAACTAGAGAATGGCAAAGAGTGGAAGAACAAAACTAGGTTCAGAGAGGTGAGGAAAGGCTGCCTGCATTTTGAAATAATTGCTTTATTATTAAAATACAGATCGATTTATTCTCAACAAAAGCATAATGCATAACTGTGCATGACTACCTATAAGTCTACAGACAGGTAATCATGATCATAGACGGGTCTATGAGAACCATCAAGAAGGAGCAGCATTCCCGAAATATTGGTTTCATAATTACAGTACAGTATACAGTTCGAATAAGAAACCTTACACGTCCCCATGTTCATGTTTTTTTACATTATGTATAGGCCTATATAATTATATATCCATACATTTATATAATATAGAATACATATAAATATATAAGCTTGTGTAATGCCTATATATATAATATATATATATATTCTTATCTTCAATAAATTGTGGCAAATTAGGACTATATCTTCGTATTTCATACGGTATATATATATATATATATATATATATATATAAACGTATCTCATTCATTTATGCACAATAACCTCATAAATTATTACTTTTCTATTCACAAATAAATTATTTTTGTACATTTAAACGAAAGACCGTAAGCTTTTAATTATACATTTACATCTGTTACACATCTGCACCAGTGTGAATAAAAATATAAATTATGTATATTACATCAGACTCTCCTTCTCTTATACTTTAAATAATGACTTCCAAATAATCTCAACATAATTCTGATAGTTGGCCTAGCTACATCATTTATATATTATTACTGTATTATTATTTCTATAGTTTCGGGCTACTGTGTGGATATTTTTAATGAAGCACTAACATGATCGTTAAAATATCGATATGTTGGATCTCATGACGTAACAAGAGGTTAGAGATCATGTTGACTGCAAATTTTGAAAATGTCGTTAGTAGGCCTATGATAGATTCCGAAACAACAAAACACCAACCGTGCAGGCTACAGACAATGTCTCGGTAGTAGACCGTTTCTTTCCGATCGAACTATAATTTTGTTTAAACAAACACAATCTTTCTGTTTGTTTTTTATATAGACTTTTGTTGAGCCTATAATATACAGTGTATTTTTTTTAATTCAATTCAATTACTAAACGGTCGAATTTTTTTCTAAACAACCTCTCTGCCACAAGATAAACTGCTCTCCAAACTTACTACTGTACTATTCAAAGAAACAAGAAAACGGGTTGTAATGAAAACTACTGTACTGAGTATTCCTCTATTGTCCAAACCATGACTGAACAAACGTATGACATCATTCGGAAGTAAATCGACTTGGTCTATTGTATCTGTATGTAACGCCATGGCTCATTCAGACAATATCAGTGTAGAAAATGCGTTCTCTTAAAATCTCATCTTCATAACGTTACGGTTCATTTATGAATATTTGATTAGCAGCATTTGAAAAGCAAATCTTGACGATATTTCCGGATCGTACACATATCTGATAAATGTATGGTAAATTAAAGCTTATTCTTAGTCGTTTTTATCAGGTTCATTAGAATGGGTAATGAAACAAACTGCCCCTAAACCAAATTTTACTGAGTGACATCTTAAATTTTTATTTTGTTATTGATGAACTAAATATGAATCAGTCTTCAACAAAATCGATATTTGAAAAATCAACATGTGTATATTCTTATTACTCTGTCTAATAAAAATTATAATAAAAAATAAAAATTATAATAAAAAATCTCCAAGGTCATGCGTGTGCCTTTACCAAGCAACGGCAAATTCAATGTTTTAAAAGAAAATTAAACAGGGTTTTTGCTATAAAAAAAAAATTAATATATTTAAATTAACGATCTTCGTAATTACATTTATAGATATACTATCCGTAGTAAAATCTGAAAACCCTCATTATTTAAATTTAAACATTGAATTGCCGGTCAAATAATTTCTACCGTTAACTTTCAATGATACATAGCTGGAATAAATTAAGTTTTCGCTAAATAACCATGCATTGAAATTCCTTAAATCAACTGCCAGTTCATGTATAGGCCTATGCCTATATACAGAAAATAATAGGAACCGGTATGTTATGCGTCTGTCAATTGACGAGAAATACCTTTTTTCTTTTTTCCAAATCAAACTTATGCTTTATCTTCTCTTCAATTAAATTGTTTTAAAAGCGCGCTTATAAGAATATAAATAATTTAGAATTGCAGTGGATGGATACAGTTTAAAATAATAAGCACATGATGTGTTCTTTCTCCTAACACTCTCTTCATCATATACTCTCGCTATTTATTTCTTCTTGATTTTCAACTCTTTTGCCGGTAACAAAATCACTTAAAACTGATCGTATTTCTTTACTAAATGCGAATGTTAACACTGGAGTTATTGTGGTTTGCAAGCAGACGAGCCAAGTCGCGACTCCTATAAACAAATCAGGTACGTCAGCATTTCTTGTACTAGTCCTACAAAAACAGCAAACGATGTATGGAATCCATAGAATAACATATGCAACGGAAATCAGACACATTAACTTGGTTGAGGCTTCTTCCTTGTGGAAATTCCTAATCTGACTGTTTCCCGGATGCCGTCTTCCCGTGGCTGCGGCCATCGGAGTTCCTTGTCCCTGCCTTATACCTAGGCTGGCAGACGTCGCTAGTATTTGTGTATTAGTGGCAGCCCCTGGACCATAAAATGTCCAATTATTTGATATTGCTGGAACATATTGCACTGGGGTCATCCGTCTGTGTGCATGCATATAACAGAATATTTTCAAGTAAGCTAGGATTAAAAATAAAGCTAAGGAAGTAAACACTATAACATATCCGATAGAATCTTTCCTGGTTGTTGTGCTGTATATTAAATTGCACTGGTATTCAGCCGGGACATACCCATATAGATCGTTGTTAAACACAGGCGGAAAGGCCATAGAGACACTAAGAGCCCACATAAAAAGTACGCAAAGTAGACCAGTTAGGCCCCGAATTTTCCGTCGATGAAATTTGTGGAAGCGTAAAACCATATAACGTTCAATACTGATGAGTAGTAAACTGTAAAGTGAACCAAATGTGAGATACACGTTGAAAAACGAGATTACTTCGCATAAAGAGTCGCTATGTGTCCATCCATCGTTTAATACCGATATAATGAGGTATGGTAAACAAAGAACAGCTCGAATTGTTTCAGCAAACGATAAATTCAACAAAAAGAAAAACGGATGCCGTTTTAATCGCTTGTCCACTACAACAAGAAAACACAACGTTCCATTTCCAAATACGCTGATTACTACTATGATTACCATGGAAACAATCCAAGAATATCTGCGAACAAAATACCAATCATCATGGACAGGCATGTTTGCAGCAAACTCGGATAACGATGCTAGCGTAATAGGTGATACTGATGTGTTATTGTCTGTTATGTTACTAGCAGGCATTTTAATATTTTAGGCCTATATTCACTTCAGCAATGTGCGATAATGTGGTGCTTATACTTTACTGTATAAGAGCGTTGCATAAGCAGTGTTGGTCCTGCCACTGTTTCTTCCTCATTACACAATAAACCAGGCATCCACTCAGCCTGGTCTGTAACATCCGCACTACACACTCCTTCTTTAGCATTTCCTGTGGAGAAAACAAAACACAAATGATAAATTCGTCACCCGCACTGGATATTAATGCGGGTTTCCCGATCCCCTGTAGGCTAATAAAAAATGTGTATTTCCGCTGCTATCTGAGGAAAACAGACACATCTGGCCCGCGAGTTAACACCGTTCTCTACATGGTTTCATGCCTAAATGGATGCACACAAAGGCATCTAGCTGAGTGCATGTAGACAAAGGAATACATCAGAAAGAACAAGGCCATATACATGTATATATACATATATATTTCTGTACCATAAGCCTATATTTTAATCACTCAAAAAAGTTTCCTTGTTTTAATGTGTAGACATGGTCACACAATTTCAACCTAATTATGAAGATCCACATTTCAACCAGTTACTTAACCAGTCGTCAGCCTCGTTTCGGCCAATCCTATACTCAGCTCTCACGTAATCATAATTACATTTAGTAGAAAATATGCATAGGTAAATAGGTACATAACAATCCATGTTTCTATTAAATGAAGAACCATGGCAAAACTTACCATTACCGGCTTTGATAAACAGAAAACACTACATTTTGTCTTATATTTCTTATATGTGACTTATAATAGGCCTATCAGAGTGTTAAGATATCGTCGGATAATCGGATGTATCTCGTCAGTTGCTGAGTGCTCTGTCTTTGTGCAGTGGTATACTGTCTAACATCTTGTCAATAAATTCTTTGTATGACCCGTTCGGCTACATTATTGCGCATGCGCTGGCAGCTATGAAGATTAATTTTAGGCAGCATCATCAGTCGGCAACAACAAGCGATTTGACACTAGATGACGTTATGAATATCGCGACACTTCAACACATAATATTTCAAAGAAACAATTTCGCTCTCAAACATTGTTTTAAGCATATTCTCTTTATTTATTACGACGAAACATGATTGGAAAGAATTAGTCTAACGATATCGTTATTGATTGATTATAGTAGGCCTATAATAATATTACAGTAGGCCTGCAGTTGAATGCAGAATTATCCGGGTGTATTGTCTGCCAAGTCCATGGATATCAATACATTGAGCAGACTGCAAAATGCTGGGTCCCTCTTTTCTACAAATAATAGTCATTAACATTATCATAATTACAATCGCTTTTCGACTGTCTGAGGTTTTTATCATGATTCATCGACTGTTTTACTCTTAATTGGTCAATCTATTACGGTATTTTATACGTTTCAAATAGGCTTTAGATATCCTAAATATATTTATATTTATAGTTTAAATATGGATAAACGTGAAAGAATGATATAAACTATAATATTAATGATACTTTGTTATATTTTAAATTAAGTGCTAAGATACATGTTTATGATTAAAATGTATAGGCCTAGTTTTAGAGTGCCCAATTAAAAAAAAAATACCAATCGAATAATTGTCATGGGGTCCGGTCACGTGCGACCCGGTCAATGCATGTCTGTCAGGAGGCCCCGACCACACAGCTTACTTCAAACCAAAAAGAATAATAACAACGTGTGCATGGAACCCCAATTTTTTACTTTATTGTCACGCTATGGCTATACTATTAATTTTTTCATATTCTATTGTCATCAATTTTACGGTATCAAACGCCTTTCAAACATTTTCCAAGAACACACATGGATTTACTTCATTAAAAAGCTATACTTGATACGACTATAATGTCACTTCCCCCTTTATCTTAGCACTATATTTGTAATTTAATAAATTTGTTTACACATAACAGTGCTCGCAATATAGGCCTCTATATATATATATATATATATATATATATATATAAAACGGAAATAAACTATAGAACGTATCGCAAGTATTACAATCAGAGTGCTCAATGGATTTGGATAGCATCAATCCTTCCATAGACAAGACGGCCAAAATAAAAAACACTCACGACTATGTAAGTTACCTGTACAGGCCACCTTAATGTCGTGTCCACAGAGAAAACGACACTGAATTTCCGCGGTATATTTTACGACCATTCGTATTGTGAACTGCAAAGCCAGAATAATCCGTTTTATTATCATACTCACAAGAATATGTTAGGCCTATATCCCGACGAGTTAAAAAAAATTAATACTAATAAAACAGTTAGGCCTACATTGTACATTCGAGTTGGTCAATAACAACAAAAACATTGTCAACAACAACTTTATTCATTTTCATCATTAGGCCTATAGTAAATCATTTTATCACGCTTAAAATTGTCTACAGCATCATCACGTCGAGTTCATCGGCTATGTAATAAGTAATAAAAGATAATTTGTTTTGTCTCCACAGTAACTTTAATCATTTTTATCATCATTACAGATAAATAATAACTTTTGAAGATGTATTTTTTCATAGGTTAGTAATTGAACTAGTCATAAAATTATTATAGATGAAATGTTTCCATAGAAACCCTAGCAAGCTGGTAAAAATGTGGATTTTAAATTCAACGATCAAGTATTTAAAATTAGGCCGCTGATTCAACGATTAATATTGTTTGGGGTCAATTTGGAATGGGTTTCTACGGAAGCACCTAACTGCCATTCGACTTGACTACTTGTCAAGATAATTTATGTTCTCAAGTCGACATAATATACATATCATGTCGACATGGCGAGATAGATTATCTTGACAAGTCGTCATAGTAAAAATTGTATGTTGTCATGGCGAGATAGATTATATTGACAAGTC